TTCCACATATCCAGTCTCCATAACTTCCATGTAGCTCTTTATGGATCTCTGAGGTTTTGTGGGAAGTCCTGGAAGAAGAATATCCGGGTCTGGAGGGATCTCTCCTGTCCTCTGCCATGTCTCTTAGGTTTAGGTCTCGTTGGCTGATACATCTTGTGTTTGAGCATCAGACTGGGTTTTGCTGAGTCTATAGATGAAGTGCAAACATCTGTCACCTTTAGAATAACAACTGGTAGAAACTGAGAGCTCATATTGTTTGGATTTCTCTCCTCCAGGTGTCAAAGCATTCTAAATGCCCATTTATAGAAATTATGTTGGAATTCTAATGAAATACTTCAGTATTTCTTTGTAAATTGTTTCTGCCTAAAACAGTGAGAAATGGGCCAAATGTATGACCTCAAGTTCTGCCTCTTCATGTTAGTGGAGGCCTGGGACAGGTTGTCCATGGGTACTGCCCTTCTCTGGAGATCCACTCTTGAATTCAGAAATAGAAGCATATTTAATTCCCAAAGTTCTTCTGAGATATTTCTTACCTGCTCAGGCAGGTTTTCTTTGTTATCTGTGAAGACAGAGAGGCATAGGTGACTTTCTGAATTGTTGAAATGCAAAGGGGTCTATGTTGGGCAGGATTCAACAGTAAGTACCCACTGGGAGGCTTTCACAGGGGGATGTTCCTGTAGATTCCCCAGATCTTGTTGGTAATTTGGGGTGGTTGTCTGTAGTTGGATGGTGGCAGAGAAACCATGTCATCGTCCTCCACAGCGTGTCCTCCTGTTGCTGTGTGGAGCCTCTGAGTTCCTCTGGAGCTCAGACAATGGCATGCTAGTCTGCTAGGAAGGAGAGGGGAGAGGTGCTCTTTTTCCTCAAGGTCACTATTGCTCAGTGTGCATAAAGGTCAGGTCAGGAGTTCTCAGGTTCCAGGATTCAGGATATGGCCAGGCACCTAAAAGAAAAAGCTTATATTAGGTAGTTGATGAGGCTGTCAGAAAGATACATTCACCACCCTAGATCTGTGGCCTTTCAGATAATAACTGGTTTATTTTCATGGAATTCTGGACCTAATAAGGCAGGAATAATGACCCTTTTGTTCCCATGTGACTTCCTGTGGGAGAACTCAGTGGGGTCTCCTTGAGAAGCCCTGATTGCAGGGACTGGTTTGTCCTAGCTGCTCTGCTACTGTCCCATAAACGGGCTCTGGATCAAGAAGGAAATGCAGTTTCACCAACATGTCTGTGTCTAAACGCTGTGCTTCCTGCACCCAGCTCACTGAACACTTGCCTAGATGAGACAGGATGCGCATATGGTGAAGATGAGGTTGTCTGAACATATCCAACAGAACCTGCAGATCTGAGGAAAGAAAGGATGTCAATGAGAGTTCTGGAGTTGGCCTCTGAGACTAAAAGAGACCCAGGCTGTTACCACACTAGTCATCCTATCTGTGTCAATGACCTTGGAGGAATTTAAACAGTCCAAACCAGTCAGCCTTTGTCCAAAAGCAAGCTATCCAGCATCATGTGGACTCACTTTATTCCACTGGGAAGTGAGTATTACTGAGCAACTTTGGGGTAGTGTATGAAAAGATCTTGGTACAAAACGCATGTATTGTCTGAACCTGTTCCTGCTGCCTCCAGGACGTAGGCAGTGGGAAAGGAGTGTGTTGAATGTGTGAGCCTCATCATAATCTGACATTTGACATGTAACAATC